AATCTAAGCACGGATAAAGAAGGCTTGTTTGACACACGCCATCTCTGACTTAGTTAACGTGGTATTCGGCTATCAACAAAAGGAAGAGCGTACTGCTCAGCAGTTCACTCCATCCTCCTTTATGACTGGTTGTGAGTGAGATATGGCAATGGGAAGTGGAAGACATGAAAAGTCTGGCTAGCTGTCTTTCATCATAGGTATCTGCGTTCTATCTCCCATGTTAGGTGGTACAAAATAGTAAGTAATATTGAGGTTAGGCTACTGCCAAGTGTTAGGTAAGGAGGGTTGGTCATTCGATGAGCTTGTGAAACTAAATCGATTGAGAAGGTCAGGATGTGTGTTACACATGCATGCCTAGCCATCACCTTCCTCGACCGACAAGCGATATTAGCTGACTTTGGATCAAGTTGGAAAAGAGGTAGTGGTGGTCAAACCAAAACATGGCTTCATCAGTCAATGAAGTTCACAACAGTTAGTTTAAGCCACGTAGGGAGGGAGGTGTAGACTTCTTGGTTGGGGTCTTCAGGATGGTTAAAACTAATGGTTAGAGACCATTGGTGATATGGTTCAAAATCATTCTCAATGGCATAGATGCATTTACTCTTTGTGATTGTTCATATCCAATAAAGTTCTATTGTCCTTCCATATTACTATTCTTTTTGCCTAATACTTCTGTTTATTATCTCTCTTTCGAACCTACCTTTACTCTCTTCTCTTGCTTTGTGGGCTACACGAAGTGTGGCAACTCGAACTGCTGAAGATCTGTGCAAAGTTCTACATTGAAACCAGTCAGTAAGCCAGTTAGTTGGTTCGATTCGGCTCACAGAATCGAATTCATTGAAAAAATACCTCAATTTTCGTCGCTAATTTGATTCTCTAAGTACCACCAAGTAAGAAAGCAAATGAATCAACAGACTTATGTCATCGACATGGTCAAAATGTTAAAGGAACAGTAATGAGGAAAACAGTCCTCGAGTGGAACGCAAATAAGAAACAGCGAGTTGGGTGTCGGCCGAGGATGACAATGAAGGAGATCGAGTGAGGAGATGGAAATGTAAGCTTATAGTCAGGCGTGAAGGAAGGTGGTAGTTAAAGAGAACTGAACAGAACAGCACAAAGTGGAAGTGTGTTGTTCAGAAGCCCTATGCTCCCGACCCGGAACCCAAGGGAATAATAATGTCTGTCTGTCTGTTTTCGACATAGAACTTTGCACATATGTGCGCCAGTTCAAGTCGCCACACTCCCTCCTTGTAGCACGCAAAGCAAGAGAAGGAAGTAGAAGAAATGCATAATATAGACAGTAAACAGTGGTGTGAGACAAAGGAATAGTAATAACGGAGAACAAAAGTTTAATTGGAAATCATAAGTCACAAGGAGTGGATGCATCTGCGCCACTGAGAACGATTTTGAGCCATGTCGCCAATTGTTTCCAACCATTGGTTTTTACCATCCCGAGGGCCCCAACCAGGAAGTCTACATCTTCCTACGTGGCTTAGATTAACTGTTGTGGATTTCATTGACTGGTGCCATGTTTTGGTTTGACCGCCGCTAGCTCTTTTCCAGCCTGACCCTATATCAGCTAACATTTCCCGTCAGTCGAGGAAGGCGATGACTAGGCATATGTAGCACATGTCCTAACCATCTCAGTCGATGCAATTTCACAGTCTCGTCGATTGATTTCCCCGCCTTACCTAGCACTCGACCGAGCCTAACCTCAATATTGCTCACCTTATTATTCCACTTCACGCGGGAGATAGAACGCAGACACCTATGATCGAAGACAGCTAATCTTTTCATGTCTTCCACTCTCAATGGCCAGGTCTCACGGCCATAAAGGAGGACGGAGCGGACTGATGAGCAGTACACACGCCCTTTGGTCGATAGTCGGATATCGCGTCTACGCCAGAGACGGCGAAAACTGGCGAATGCGAACCTAGCCCTCTGTATTCGTGCTGAGATTTCGTCGGAGATCAACCCGTTGGGGCTGATGGTACTTCCCAAGTAAGTGAAGCGGTCAACGTGTTCTACCACTTCACTTCCTATTTCTAATCTAGGGGTCGATGAAGTCCAATCCTGCAGCATCATCTTACATTTTATAGGGGCGAATCGCATGCCAAACATGCGGAGGTTGTTGCTCAAGGTGTTCAGTAGACTCTGCATTTTGTCAGAGTCCTCGCCTAGAAGGACTATATCGTCCACATGCATATTCTAAGTCAACGAGATTCTTCCCTGGTAGCAAGTCAATCCCTGAGTCGCTGAAGTGAGTTAGGGTTAAGTCCATTAGTACATCTATGATGAAATTGAATAGGAATGGGGATAATGGGCATCCTTGACGGACGCCACTAGTCGTCACCACTTCAGATGACAACTCGCCATAAGCCCTCACCTGGCTGCATGAGTACGAGTAGAGTGCCTTAATCAGTGCAATGTATTTTCTTGGCATTCCCTTTACAGCCAAGCATCGCCAGAGAACCTCCCGGTCGACGGAATCGAATGCCGCCTTTAGGTCAAGAAATATAATGATTGTCGGACGCCGGTAGGAATGCCTATGTTCTAGAATCTGTCGAAGGGTGAAGATGTGATCAATACACCCTCTACCTGGCCTAAAACCTGCCTGGTTTTCTCGTGTTTGTGTCTCCCGAGCACCACTTAATCTACGCAGTATTATTGAGCCTAGGATTTTAGATACTATATTAGTCAAGCTAATCCCTCTGTGATTATCACAAGACGACTTGTCCCCCTTCTTGTATATCGGGATGATCAGTGACTTACACCAACCCGATGGGACTTCCTCTGATTCCCAGACGCTGCCTAGAACCTCCGTTAACGCAGACAGTAAACTGTCGCCTCCGTACTTAAATACCTCTGGAGTCAATAAATCAGGTCCCGCTGCTTTGCCTAGCTTCAGATTGGTGACAGCTTTAGTAACCTCGGTTAAGGACGGAGGACCTGTGTCTATCTCCCATTCAGGGAGGTGCTGGATGTCCGGTAGGTTAAGTGTGGCTGTGGGCCAATTAAACTGCTCCTCATAGTGTTCTTTGCAGCGCTCCAGACGTCTATCCTGGGAGCTAATTATAGTGCCATTTTTCTCGGAGATTGTTTCGCTTATCATTTGCCTTTTACCACCTGTTTCCCTGATAAGCCTGAATAGTTGTCTGGTGTTGCCTATCGCCGATGCTTTTTCCATCTCTTTCGCCTTTGTCAACCACCACTGTTCACGGTCCTTGCGGAGACTTTTCGTAAGTTTCCTCTTGTGCAGCTTTCGCTCCTCATTGAATTCGGAGCTCGCCGGAATAAGTCTTCTAGCATCTATCAGTTCGGATGAGGCAGTCGAAATCCAATGGTTTTTACTCACCTTTGGATTTACCTTATTCACAGCTTTTACAGCTGTATCTATGGCTGACTGAATATTCTTCCAGGCTTCTTCAGGGTGAGCGCAGCTGTCAAACTCAGATATGTGTTTAGCTAGTTCTTCCTCAAATAGGGACTTAGTTCCCTGGTCGAGCTGGGGACGTGGTGGGTTTACCGCCAGCTGTTTCCTACGTCCGTTCAGTCGTAAGCACACACGAGCGCGGACCAGTGCGTGATCGGTATCTACACACGTGTTCCAGAAGGAGCGACAATCCCCTACCGACCCACGCCAACGATAGCTTATTGCTATGTGGTCTATTTGTGTCCAGCGTTGATTTGATGATGGTGGTCGCCAGGTCAAACAGTGTCTCTCCTTGTGTTTGAAGTTAGTGCTTACAAGAAACAAATGATTATCTGAACAGAACTGTAGGAGACGGTCACCGTTGTCGGTTCGCTGGCACGGAATTCCGTATGTGCCACCGACATTCTTCTCAGATTGACACAATTTCCCTATTTGAGCATTAAAGTCACCAGCTAAAACGACAATATCTGAGCGTTTAGCCTTTCGCAGCAAACTAGACAGCTTTTGGTAGAACTCATCCTTCGTTTCATCCGAACTGCAGTCAGTGGGGGCGTAGGCGGAGATTACGAAAAGGCATCGGCGAGTAGTGCAGTCCTTTCTCCTTTTCACTGATCCGTTCAGGCGGACAGCACACATTCGGCTATCTACCGGGATCCAGTCAAGTAATGTCTTTTCTGCTCTAGTACTTAAAGCTATCCCAACACCAGCTAATCCTCGTGAGCTAGCCGTCGCATCTCCTGACACCCTCAAGGTGAATTTTGCAGATTCATCCTGTTGGCCAGGTGGGGTTAGGTGAATAACCACACTTGGGTCTTGTATGCGTGTTTCTGAAACACAACATACATCAATGGCTCGGGATGCCAGAGTCTTGGCTAGTGATGCTTGTTGTCCTATTTGGCAAAGTGTCCTAACATTAAATGCTCCTATATAAAATTGGTGGCGTGGCTTTAGGAGACCATCAGTGGTGGCTTTTTGGCTTCCATCGTTATCAGTGCACACAGAGTGAAGGGGAAGTGAAGAGCCAACAAGTAGAGGAGTTGCATTAGTAGAAGGAAGGCAAGATAATAGAGATGAAGATGAAGACAAAGATGAGTGAGGATTAGAGGGGTTTCGCGTGCACTTCGGATTGTGAGGGCGATTGTTACTTCCCGGCTGCCCACACCGTGGAAGTTGGTTGCGTGACCGCAGAGCCCAGGGGACAACTGCTTGAGGCCGGTCACACACGGCCTGTTTTTGTTTGTTCTTTTTTATATGGTGTGTCTCAGTAGCGTATTTATCACTTCTGCCCTGTGACACGGCAGCAGAAAGCGCGGTCGTTGTTAATCCGGGCCCCGACCGATCCGGCATGATATTTTGTGATTTATTTGAAATCATAGGATTGGATTGGGTAACTGCTTTTAGTCTAACTGCTATCCAAACAACCTTTCTGGCATGGTAGGACCTGCAGGAACATAAGTTCCAGCCATTATAGCTTGTTGGGTCATTGCAGTGTTCAAGCCCGACCACCACGTCAAGGTAGCAGCTATCGGTCGGGAAGGGAATAATAATAATAATGTATTAATCGAATGTTATATTTCTCAATCACACTTTTTATTTATTTTACTTTGAAGGATATTTCAATCCAAAGCAAATGTGTCAATAAGGCAAGAAGCATTTTTAAATGAACAAAAAAATTTCACACATCATTTTGTTTCACATTCTCAAGAAGACAAAAACAAAAGACAAATTTGTCTTGTTTCAGGACCAAAGTATTTTTTTTTAAAAAAAAACAAAAGATGCAAGCATACTGTTTATTACGATACACATATAGATAGATTGTTTATTATTATTATTTGTTTTCCTCAGTTCACCAATAACAAAATAAGAGAGATTTGAAAGTGAGGAAGAGAAAAAAGAGGCAAAACATAAACAGATAAATAAATAAATAAATAAACAAATGAGTAATTATTGGAGTAGAAAGAAATGTAGAGGGTAATTTTTGTTTGTCACTGTCTTTCCCCTTCTCTCATTAGTACATCATTAATTGATAACAACACCATACATCATAGAAGGACAGACAGGTTGGTTAGTAGACAAAGTGTAGTAGAAGTAGGTAATGAGACCTGTGCTTTCATCATGGACGCACGCATACACACACACACAAACACATACACATGTTATGTTAATGATATGGTAAAATTAGTAGTAATATCAAAAATTATTCTGTAACCGTCCTATTCCGTGCTTCTTTTAAAAGCATTAACAACGTCAGTCTAATTCTAAAAAGAGAAAGAAACAAAACAAAGCGGTTATAACAGCAAAATAATAATAATAATTTCTAGGGTGGAACCCTTCACAAAATAAAGTACAAACAACAGCAGTTTACGCAGAATAAAATGTCACTATCATTTATTTCGTTGGCTTCTTCATCAGCTGCTTACAGCCTAAAGATATTATTAAGTTTATGTACAGAAATAATTTTAACATACTTAATCAGAGAGTTCAAGTTTAAACAAACACACCAATGTACACATACAATTGCAATAATAATAATAATAATAATCACTTTATCCCAAACAATAATAATCATACACAATGGAAACTTTCGGTGTTATGCAATCAGGTGAAAGAGATGATGAAGACATCCAGTTACCAGGGCAAAGAAAGACTGAAAACTGCTTCTTTATGAAAAAATAAATCAGGTTTCAGGCGCCTGATGGCGATTGCTTCGGTAAACATGAGGAGAACTGAACTCTTTTGTACAGTGATTATTTTGAAGGATTTTGTAACGTCCACCTCATGACTCATATCAAGGAGATGCCTAGTTAACGGTACTATTGAAAGAATTTGTTCCCTTGAGATGTAGACTTTATAATACATGTTCAGAAAATCGGTGGTGTACCTTACTTTCTGCCCTCTCAATCGTTGAAAAGCCCTGGAGTACTAGACAGCCCTTTCAGTTATTTTAGTTGGTGACTCTTCAGAGACTGGGCATCTACTATACTACTACTACTACTACTAGGGCAGTGAAACTTAGATCCTTCAGGTCACGAGACCCGCCAGGTGATCAATCAGTCACCGGTGGCACTATATCGTGAAGAACAAAGCTTTAGGATTGCAATGTGGCTGGTTTCATTCTGTGGTTGGAGTCTATGTGTGGTTCTATTCAACAATAAAAGCATCAGGAACTCAAAACTAATTAAACAGTACCATCAGACAGGTATACAGGCTAGATAATTATCTAGTACAAAACAAATACTTTAGAACAAAATCAATTTACTGAGACTCTCAACAGTAAGAAGTACCTTAGATCAAGTAATTATACGTCATTTTCGTGCGAAAATTCCTCATTTTATGATTAATCGGTTGAAGGTCACTCGTGCGTTCGCATCCCTTGGGACGTTATTGTTGAACTTTGCCGTATTCACTCCACGTAAACTCCCAGATCCATTAAATCTTCACTATTTTCCATACACTTATTCTTTCGCGTTTATTGCGGTTCCTTGGAGTCTTTTTTCTACCTTTGAGTGTTATATAGAGTGTGGCAACTTGAGAACCTTTGTGCAACATTCTACGTTAGCCAATCAATACGGTAGGGATTAAAAGTAGACGCTAGTACGAGTATTTCATTCTATTTAGTATCATTTTTTTAAAATTTTATTTTATTTCTTTACGTTCTTAGTGGAACATAGGGCTTCAAGCTAGGGGGCTTTGAGGGTTCGACGGTAATAGCTTTTCATTTTTAAGGCATGGGGTTGCTAGCCTAACGCTAAACCTTACCACTTTACAGACTTAAGTACCAGTCTAGGGAGATTCAAGAGTGTGTCGGCCGGGGATCAAACACAGGACCACTTGGGGCACGGTCGGAAAAGTTCTACCACTGAATCAGCAAGCTACTTTTCATCGAGTGTTGGCAGTCCTAAAAAAAACTCGATTATAGTTCCAATCGCTAGATATTAGACTGATAAGTAATAGCAACCACGTTTAATTTAACTTTTTTTTAAAGTAGAATTTCGATCTTATCATATGAAATGTCTACACAAGGCTGAGAAAGATATCAAAAAGAAAAAAAGAAGGGAATTGACAATGAAATATGAGAATGGAACAACTAACAAACCTGATCTCCATCAGGTGCTTCTATAGTTACTGTTGGTGGCGGATCCATAGCTTCATCTGTTGTGACAATATCTTCTGGTCTCGGTGCTCTGGGTGGGAATTGACCATCCCATGTTGCATCAACTGTAGTATAAATATTAGACCTAGGCACATCTCTAGTATCTCCAGGAGCTTCTGCTGTTGAAGTTCCATTGGATGAAGATGTGTTTGATACTCCTAAGACAGAGATGATATCCCGGAAAATTGCTTCAGCCTAAAAGAATACACAGAAATACATCGAACATATTTAAGTATAGCATAAATACTAAATTATCTCTGTTCTACACACTCATTACACATCATGAGAGAATTTATATGGGGAAAAGCCTCTATTAAAGAGTACACTTCATTATCGAATAAAAAATGCTACATTTCTTATTATCACCATCATTAATATTACAAAAAATATGAAGGTAATTAGGGGTATTCAGTAGTAAAAAACAAATGATTCCATTTTGTGAACAGTGAAATAAACGCCCACACCTCATGGACTAAATAATGAGTAGGAACTATTGTAACGACAGAAGACAAGGACCAGGCAACTGATCATCTATTGAGGAAATCAACAGATATTTATGGATTTTTATGTACATTATTATTCGTTATTGTTGTCAGAGTAGAAACGTCTTCTGATTGGTTGTTTTCTTGCTGAAGGTTATTCTATCACCTCTTTGTAGCAGTTTTTTAGACAGTCCGGTGATATATCTGCTAATCGTATCCGCTCACGCTAGGTCTGCTGTGATTGGTTGTTGAGTTACTCAAGGTTAGTCTTTGTTCTTGTTTTTTTTCTCATGACCAATATTTGGGATGTAAACATTGACGTAAATTGCTGTCTACCAATTTCAGCTAGCAGACAGCTTTAAGCACACTACTAACTCAAATTCAACGCATTCCTAGCCAACAGTACGCTCGGAAAAATAGGAAGATTAGCTGTGAGGTTAGCTATCCCACCGAGTAAAAAGAAGACACCACAGCTACTGAAACTTCCATCCAGAAGGCAAGGATTGAGAAAAAAAACTAACTGATATGAGTAGACGGAAACCACTCATATCACCTACAACTTCTTGCTGACCAAATCGAATAAGTGAATAAAACATATTATGAAGCAATTTGGTGGAATCCAAGATGCGTACTTCGTCCCATTTGGGACTGCTCATTTGGATGTACCTGCATCCTCCAATGAGTGATGGTATTCCCATTGAAGCTCGAACCCAGTACCCACCCAATAGTTTCAAACGCCAAAGCATTATCCAGTAGACCAACTAGGCCACGAAAGCCTCTTCTTGTTCAACGGGTATCAGTTATAATTTATTTACAATTCAATTTTAATTTTCCCGTTGACTGATTGAACCGACAGGCTCGGCTCATTGTGAGGATGTCTCGACAATCCTCAAAGGATACCCTGAATTCTACCGCTCCACCAAATTATAATTCAAGTTGATCCTCACACATAGTCGAAGCATCCGCACAAGGAGCCGACATATCAACATACAAAAGTTGAACATTTCGGTCAAATTGATCAATAGGAAAATTAAAGACACATATTATATGCCTAACAGAAGTGTAGTAATTGCTTAAAAATATTATTGTTCGAATATATAGTTGAGCTGCTTAAAAGAAACTAGAGTGAAATATCTGATTTCATAGGACAACTACTTTTTATGTGAACTCAGTATATCCAGCAGATTCTTTTAGAAGCTCATCAAAGTTGTAATTATAGATAAGGTAGGTTGTAAAGGCGGCATTCGATTCTGTCGACCGAGAGGTTCTCTGGTGATGCTTGGCTCTAAAATACATTGCACTAATTAAGGCACTCTACTTGTACTCATACAGCCAGGTGAGGGCTTACGGCAAGTTGTCATCTGAAGTGGTCACGACTAGTGGCGTCCGTCATGGATGCCCATTATCCCCATTTCTATTCAACTTCATTATAGATGTACTAATGGACTTAACCCTAACTCACTTCAGCGACTCAGGGATTGACTTGTTACCAGGGGACAATCTCGTTGATTTTGAATATGGAGGCGATATAGTCCTTCTAGGTGAGGACGCTGACAAAATGCAGAGTCTACTGAACACCTTGAGCAACAACCTTCGTATGTTTGGCATGCGATTCGCCCCTGTAAAATGTAAGATGATGCTGCAGGATTGGACTTCACCGACCCCTAGATTGGTAATAGGAAGTGAAGTTGTAGAGCACATTGAACACTTCACTTACTTGGGAAGTACCATCAGCCCCAACTGGTTGATCTCTGACGAAATCTCAGTACGAATACAGAGGGCTAGTTTCGAATATGCCAGTTTACGCCGTCTCTGGCGTAGACGTGATATCCAACTATCGACCAAAGGGCGTGTGTACTGCTCATCAGTCCGCTCCGTCCTCCTTTATGGCTGTGAGACTTAGCCATTGAGAGCAGAAGACATGAAAAGATTAGCTGTCTTCGATCATAGGTGTCTGCGTTCTATCTCCCGTGTCAAGTGGTATAATAAGGTGAGCAATATTGAGGTTAGGCATCGGTCGAGTGCTAGGTAAGGAGGGGAAATCAGTCGACAAGACTGTGAAATTACATCGACTGAGATGGTTAGGACATGTGCTACGTATGCGTTGTCATCTCCTTCCTCGACGGACAATGTTAGCTGATATAGGGCCAGGCTGGAAAAGAGCTACCGGCGGTCAAACGAAAACATGTCACCAGTCAATGAAATCTACAACAGTTAGTCTAAGCCACGTAGGAAGGTGTAGACTGGCTTCCTGACTGGTTGGGGTCCTCGGGACGGTAAAAACCAATGGTTGGAAACAATTGGTGACATGGCTCAAAATCGTTCTCAATGGTTGTTGCAGATGCATCCACTCCTTGTGACTTATGATTTCCAGTGAAACTGTTTTTTTCTTCGTTATTACTATTCCTTTGTCTCACACCTCTGTTTACTGACTATATTATGCATTTCTCCTGCTTTCTTCTCTTGCTTTGTGTGCTACACGGAGGGAGTGTGGCAACTTGAACTTCCGCATATATGTGCAAGGTTCTATGTCGAAAACAGACAGACAGAAGGTAGGTTGTTCATGATAAAAGCTGCTTTAAAATAAAATTAACTACTACACGTAATTATTATTCCATTGTATATGTAAATGACATGCTTGACAAATTATGTTGTCACATAATTCAATAAACCACTGATATACGTAGCAGTGAGTCCATTAATTAATTGTGTGAAGGCTGGTGATACTACCTGTAAGGCGCTTAAATCTCGAATAAGTGGAATGGAATTACAGCCTATGACCACCACCCACCAGATGAAACTAGAATGCCAAATCCGATGAGCCAGAACATCACAAACACTGAATGCAGACATACCAGAAAAAAAACCTATAATAATATCTGAAGGTTTTGTTCTACTAATTGATAATAATAACCTCTAACCTTTGTTGTCGATTAAATGCTTTAAAAACTGTACAGTTTTGAAGTGAAATTACGAAAAGTAGAGATCTCTTTGCTGACTTATGCATGCTTAATTACATAACATGAGAATTTTTTCATACATCTGAAGACTTTAAATATATATACATATATTCACAAGTGATACTGGTAATATATACAAGTGGAATTAGTTTTGATTATAATAAAGGTTTTTGTATTTCCTAATGAATGAAAAACAAAACGATATTGTTTTTACTTACGTTTCGCTATTCAATGCTAATAGCTTTATAAAAGTATTATTAAACCAGAATTTACAAAATCTCAGATTACATATAACAACTTTATCATCGTTCATCATCAAGGGGTAATTTTTCCGTTGTCAAATTGGTCAATTGGTAAAGATAACAAAACCAGGTGTAGATTGTTGGATTTGATAAGTGTGTAAAAAGCAGTGTGTGTTTACATAATGAAATTGCTTATCACATTCGTGTTGATTTTGTCACTTCATGGGGGAGGGGGTGTTGTATTCAGATCACATTCTGTTTCAGTCCATCATTCCTATTCAGGCAATTTGGATTCCACTTGATATGAAGTACTTCTGATATTAGACGTTCTTTATGATTTCTGAAATTCTTCAAAATTGTCAAAATCAATTTTGTCGCCTGATTCTATAGCGTGCAGACCTATGGCTGATGACTTTTCAAGCTTTTCTAGTTTAACCGGATTTCTCGGCGGTCGAAGAGATGCTCTACGGTGTTCATTTCTTCTGATTTTGATTTCTCGAGATGTTTGTCCGATGTATATCGCATCTCTTTCCAAGCATTTTATTTTATAGACACAATTAGATAGAGAATCTTTAGGGATCTGGTCTTTTATATGGACAAGGTTGTTTTGTAGTGTGTCTGATGTTTTGAAGAGAACCCTAATGTCGAGCTGATTGAGTACTCTTCCGATATCGTTTGATGTCTCTGCTCTATATGGAATGACAACTGCTGAGGTCCCTGTTTTCGGAATGCGTTTTCGACCATACTTAATGTCTGTGTTGATTTTGTTGATGAAGTTCCTTAGGTAGTTGTTTTGCTTGAGAGTTTCAGTAATGTTTGATATTTCTTCTTCTTTTTCTTTCTCATCCGTTATCACAGAGTGTGCTCGTCTAAGAAGACTTGAAACAACTGGTACCTTTGCACTGATGGGGTGTGATGATCCGAAGTCTAGATATTTATTGGAGTGGGTTTTCTTCCTGAATATGGATATACTAAAATGTCCGTTTTCCCTTCTCTTAACTAGGCAGTCTAGAAATGCTAGTTCACCGACGTCTGATTCTGCTTCCGAAGTAAACTGGATTCTGGGAGATAGACAGTTTATTTTCTCCAGGAATGAACTGTGTAGATCTCGTTTTAGCGCTACGAAAGTATCATCTACATATCTTAAGCATATTTTAGGAGTGAGTATGCTTGAAAAGATGTTATCTTCGAATCTATTCATGAAAAGGTCAGCGACTATTGGGGAGACTGGTGAATCCATAGCAGCACCATTTGTCTGTCTATATAAACTATTACCTCTGTTATTCGGTTTAGTGATCTTCATTGTTATTTTGAATTTCAATATGTCCTTTTAACTTGACTGAAGTCTATTTTCTCACCTCTTAACTCTTTGTTATATATATGCTGAGATTTTGTAAATTCCGGTTTAATAATACTTTGATAAAGCTATTAGCAGCATTAAATAGCGAAACGTCAGTAGAAACAATATCGTTTTGTTTTTCTTTCATTGGGAAATACAAGAAAACCTTTAT